CGGCGCTTGCTGATCTACGACAGAACTTACTGGCGTTTTTTAAAAGGCCTCGAAACCCCCATTACAAGGCATTTTTTTTTCCCCTTTCGTCTTCATTCCAAATAAATTCTTAGCCTATCTCATAAGTAACGTCTTCTGAAGCCACTTCAGCCCGTTTTCTTTTAAGTTTTAGAAATAGCCATAAAGGAGTCAAATCAGTATTTTCACTAGTCTTACTAGGTCCGTAGGAGAGATGTCATCTAAGTCAGTTTGCCATCCAAGAGATGGCTTGGAAACTGGGATGCAGCCCCAGCACAGCTCCCCTATGACAGGATGATTTTTTATCTATCTTTCTGGCCAAGTTTGGTTAGGCGGAATTTGACTGAAACTGCAAGTAAATAAGATGATTTTTGTCTTGCCTGAGAGAGCGGGATCACTATTTCTTTCTTTTTTTAATTTTTTAATTGTTATGTTAATCACCATACAGTACATCATTAGTTTTTGATGTAGTGTTCCATGATTCATTGTTTGTGTATAACGCTATTTCTTATGTTTCCTTTTTTCATCTCAGGCAAATGAGGCCAAAGTCCCTTGGCTGTTCTTCCATCTTTGAACCTCTGACCTTGCAACTGGCTAACAATGAACCAAAAAGAATAACCATGGCCATGCCTTAAGAGGCTTTTCTTTGAAGAAAAAGAAGAGACTGGGGCGCCTGGGTGGCTCAGTGGGTTAAGCCGCTGCCTTCGGCTCAGGTCATGACCCCAGGGTCCTGGGATCGAGCCCCGCATCGGGCTCCCTGCTCGGCGGGGAGCCTGCTTCTAACCTCTCCCTCTGCTGCGCCTCCTGTTTGTGCTCTCTCTCTCTCTCTCTCTCTTACTCTATCTCAAACAGATAAACAAACTCTTTAAAAAAAAAAGAAAAAGAAGAGACAGAAACAAAGGAAGAGGAGAGAGGCAGGGAAAGAAGAGGGAGGAAAGTGGTGGAGAGAGGAGAACATGTAGGGGCACGGAGGTAACAGAGAGGCAAGAAAGGAGGACAAAAGGCAACTGTGCCTCAGGGCTCCCAGGGGAGTGCAGCTCTCCAGCGTGGCTCCTTCGCCACCCCCCTCCCGCCCCGAGTGAGGGAAGTATAGCAGTGTTTCGGAAGGACATGCGTGAGTCAGGCTCAGGCTTGAGGCTCTAGCCCTCAGGGCTGGGGTGCCTGCTGGGAGGGCCCTAAGCTGGGCACAGGTCTTCGTGCATTTGGCTTGCCACTTGCAGGCCTGCTAGCCACCTGGTCCAAAGACGGGTTTCATCTCCCGGCCCTTCTGTTTTGTTTTGTTTGGTTTGGTGTTTTTTTTTTTTTTTTTTTTTTCCCTGACAGAGCAGTACTTCATTAAGAAAAAGGCACTCAGCTATTAATTTCTGCTCACTCTTAACCTGGCCAATGAAATATAAGCATGTGCCATTTTGCGTCTATTTTAGGGCCTGGATATGAGGGCGGTTAAAACTCTGCTTGGCTTACAGCTGTCTGCATTCATCTCTCTCTTCTCAGCTCTGTCTTCTTTGTTCCTCCTTCTCCTGACAGGCTGCCTGATGGGTATAAGAACGGTGTAACAGGCTCAGACTGGATGAAGGAGGGAGGGAGCTCAGGAAGAGCCCCCTTTCTTCTTAATAGTTTAAAAAAGAATGTATATATATATATAATGTTTTCTTAAGAGAATGTCTGAGTGCACCTAAGTATTGGTCGCTGCTATTTGAATGCTCTTACCTTCCTAGGGGAAAAATTAAAATCCTCTTGCGCCCCATACAGCCTCCATCTCTTCCTAGGTTATGCAGATGACTGGGGGGGGTGGGGCATCGGGGAAGACCCATTTGTAACTAGTCCCTGGTGCTGTGCCAATCACTACCTCAGATTATCTAATGCACTAAATGTTGGCCTCAGGAAAGCAAGCAGCAGTGAATAGGTTATATATACAAATGATTAAATATCTGTTTGATCCATTTCCATTAAGTATTTTTATTGCAAGAACGACTTTTTCGCTAATCTGTTGGATTGTCAGTGTATTCGAAGTGAGCATATTCTGATTTACAATAGGAAAATTGGGGGAGGATGCACAAGAGGTTTGCCCTGTCTCTGAAACTGTCAGAGACAAAGCAGGAACGAACCTCCAAGAACCAGAGCGGGTCTTGCCCAGAAGCTACACAGAGAGCCACCTAAGTTGGTATGGGTCCAAAGTAGCTCAGCTATAAATATATCTACCACAAAGATATGAAAGGGCCTGAAATTTTCATTTCACGGGGACTCATACATGATATCTGGCAGGGAAATGATAGCTAATTGTCTACTGAGATAGAGTCATTTTAACGGATCACTTAGCTCTATTTTAACTGAACGGCAAAGATCTGGGCTTAGCATGAGATGACGCTACCTCCTAGAGTGTGGTTGGGGTCCTGGGGAGGTTAAAAAAGACTGAGACTCTGTTAATGAGAGGTTTCAAGAGAGGCAGAGTCAAAGAGAGGCTGGACCTTGCCTCTCTTGCAGATTTGGCACAAATCAGGCTTTCCGAAAAGCCCCTCATAACTTCACTATTTAGAACCGGAAGATACCAAGAGCTACAACTCCATCACTTTATGAGAAAGGGAGCTGAACCTCACGGAGGTGTTAAAGAAGTCACAGCTGGAAAAGAGGAATATTTTATACGTGCTTGGCACTGGGCTAAGTGGTATGAGGTGCGCATACCTCGTCTAATCCAGTGATTACCAGCCATGGTGGTGCATCTTAATCACCCATGGCAACGAGAAAATACATAGTTGCTTCTGTGTTCCCATTCACCACCCACTAGACACTCAGATTCTTTAGGCTTTGGGTTAGAGTTAGGCCAGTATAGTGTTTTGGTTTTTTTGTTTTGTTTTTAGTTGCGCAAATGATTCTGAGTCACTGTGGGGTTGAAGAATATTTGTTTAATTCTCACAATTCTTTGAGGCAGGAATATTACCCTATCTTCTCCAGAAGATGACAGTGAAGTTCATGTCTTTGGGGGACTAGAACCCAGGTCTATAATTTCTCGTTCCTTGGTTTTTTTTCCATTGAACACAACAGCTTCCCTGGAGGGTTGAAGTCTTAGGTTTAGAGCGGATAACCATGGGACTTCCAACTGTATTTCACTTTATCCTCTGAGTGATTGTTTCATGAGAAACCAAGGAATATATTTGCCAGCAGCAAGGGATACAGAAAAGAGCATAAGCATTTGCATTGCAGTGCTTTTAATTTTGGTTAGTTGGGTGACTAAATGACATGCCACCTTGCTAAGCCTCAGTTTCTCATTTGTATAATGGGAATGCAAAACAACATTGCACTCCAGATTGCATCAGACTAGTAAATGAGAAAAAAAGTGCATAAAATAGTTAAAATAATGCCTGGAACATAGTAGTAGTGTACAAACCGTTCACAGCACTGAACAAGTCCTAGTGCTTATTGCTACGTTTATGGCTACTAATAACTTTCTCTTTGCCAGACAATGGCATTTAGCCCATTCTCTTATTCTTTCCCTTTTTCTGTAAACAAAAGAATGTGGTGACTGGGGAGAAGGCATGAGAGGTGGGATGGAGTCAGAGATCCCAATGAATCCTGCAGAATCCCTCTTACACCCAGTGCAGGATGCATAATTTCTCTCCATGGGGCTCAAGGGGAAAATCAGGTGGGACGCATCTTGAAGCTGCTGTCTGTCTCTGCCTATCAAACCCTTTATTTTTTTCTCAGATGGAGACTGGTGTGGGGAGGTGAAAGCCCCTCCCAAAGATGACGCCTCTCCTTAAGCATCACACTTTACCTCTGCCTCACTTGGATAAACAGATTCATCTGGTGTAATCCTAGGAGCTGCCAGACATAGACAAGTACGTTCATCACTTGAACGGTGAGCTTCGGCGTTAGCATTACTCTATTTATACTTTGCCAATCCTGATGCTTTCACAGAATTGGTGAGCTCCACTGGCTCAGTGGAGGAGAAAATAAGATGGGAAACAGTACTCTTTTTTTCCGTATAGGTGTATGATGAATTCATGAGCCAGCTCCCCTTCTAATTATTCCGGCTAACTTGCCTGTTTTAAAGTACATGAGATGACAGTGGGTTTTATTGTTTTCCCTCTAAAAGTTGGGCCTTGATAAGACAGTTCATTTACAAGCGCAGGGGAGCCTGCTGGATGATAGGCGGGGCAAGGGATGGCCTATCAGTCTGGTTCAACTCTCGCAACATAATTGCTCAGACTTAGCCTTGCTGAGACTATACAGCACTTCTGTAATTACATAATGCTCCAAGACTCAAGAAGATGGAGGTTTGGAGGCATTATATACCATGTGTACTCTCTATACTGCAAACTTCTATGGTTTCAAGGGTCAGCTCTGTGTTCCATACAAAACTGAAATGGAGGCTTGCAAAGTCATAGACTGCGGGAGCCACACACCTGCTCAGGCACAGGAAAGGCCTAGAATGTCAAGGCACTTGAGAAAAACCTGGTTTCTGTATACAGACCTTACCTCTGGATCCTACCTCCACAGAGGAGTCAGGTATAGACACTTAGGATTCTGGAAAAGACCTGGATTCTCCTACCCTAATCCCTTCCACTCTGGGGGCAGAGGAGAACCAACAGTGTGGGTATTGGACTGACTTGAATTTTGTTTCCTTGTTAGACATGAAGTGGAAGCATTCTTCACTAATGTGTCCACACTCGAATGTCCATAAAAAGTAGCAAATGCCGGCGTCCCACTGTTAATGAATGATCTAAAAGATTACTTGGTGGCTTTTAGTCTAATCCTGAAATTAGTTAATGGAAGTGCCATTAATGAACATCTATTAATAGGGGCAACTGATGTAACACAGCTAATGTAATGGCCAGGAGGTGTAATAAAACACGTGGGTGAAGCAAACCTAATACTGTTTTGTATCAAAGTAGCTCGCTTGAAAAATGCACACCTGGAAAATGATCACAACGGGGAGACGTTTTAACAACAGGGTCATTGCTTGAGGGGCGCTCACCATTGAGTTGTTTTTTTTTTTTTTTTTTTTTTTTTTTACATACAACATAAACGCTTTATTAACAATCGCAGATCATCCCTGTGAGCCAAGTGGTCGACCCAGACATCCAGGACCCAGACACAAGTTCAGCGCCACCTCCGAGCTTCTCGCTCTGACTCCAATAGGGTGAGCAAGTCCCCCTCGCTCACGGGGCCGTTCACGTTGCAGATGATGGAGCGGCTCGTGTCTTCCATGAACTCCCCGCGCACCTGCGTGCACTGTCCTTGCAAGCTGATCCTGCCCAGAACCTTGGTGACCCTGGCCAACTTCATGGGCTGCACACAGCTCGTGTCCATGATGATGGCGCGGCGGCGGTCGGGCGGAGAGCTCACCATTGAGTTTTAAATGAAGTAATGGACAGCTGTACTTTGAGACCCTCATTCTCCATAGGACCTTTCTTGATTATTCTTACTGGGTGTCAAAGCTCTGATCATTTCTTTGAACTCTTATTACATAACAAGGAGTTCATGCCTTTTAATGCAACACTTAAGTTTCTTTATGGTTCTTTGTTTTATGGGTGTTGTAAATTATTAGCAATAGAAACTAGGGACTCTATCCATAATAGGATGTCTTCCCTCACTCTTTTCCTTCTCACCAAACTGCAGCTCAGGCTTGAGTGAGTTCCATAATCTGTGTTCTCATAGAGTGTTTTGTTTCTTTCTTTATAGCTCAATCATACCATGTGCAAATAACCATTAATGTATCTTCTTGATGAGGTTCCTCGGAATCAGGGATTCGGTCTTTTATCTCTGATCCCCTACAGCCAGCACCAGGCTCTGCAACAAGGCCAGGGCCATGCTAATTACTGTGACCAAAGAGATAATTGTGTTGTTTAGACTCAGTTTGTGCCTAGGTTGTAGGCAACTCAGAGAACAAGGAGCTGCTCCCTGCCTTCAAAGGGCTTAGGGTCTAGCCATACATATATAGAATCCAGCTGATGCTGACACATGAATACCTTAAAGAGGAAATGTAATTAGCATATTTGTAATGCGTGCTTAAAGTGACTTTTCTCTCTCCAAATGCAATCATTTATTTAAAAAAAAATTGCCTTGATTACTGCTCTTCGCAAATAAAATTATTGACAAAGCCCTGACATAGCTCTCTGCTATGAAATATAGAAATCTTCAAAGTCAGTCATTCTCCATCTAATTTCATCTCAATGTAAAGGATACCCAAGTTCTGGGATCATATATGTGTTATATTTTTTTCTCCCTGCAAGAGATCCTGGCTTTAGCTATGACTGCGTATAGACAACCTACACACAAAACAAGAAAGAACCAGAGATGCCTACATGAGAATTCACATACGTAAAGCAGCAAGATGGAGTTAGTTTTAGCTCTTAGGGATATGCGACAATGTGGAAAAGGCTGCAGTCTACACTGGCATGACGCTGGAATTAGAGCCAACTGGAAGCAGCTGCAGCTGCCTGAGAAACAAAGCGGGGTAATTTGACAGCAGAGGCCAACGGTTGCAGCCCAAACCCCAGGATGTCGAAAGCCCCGCTGCGGGGACGGGCAAAGGCACTGGTGGATTGGCATCACTGAACTGCACTTAATGAAAAGACCCCTAGGTCTTCATCATGGGCTAACTCTAATATTGCCATATTCTGGTCCTCATTAAAGGTTTGGGCGGCAGGGAGCTTTTCACAAACACAGACCTACTGGGGTCTATATGGAGAGCGCAAATGGGGGTGTGTGGCTAGAAGTGGTTTAAAACAAGCCTGTTTTGCTGCACAAATAATTGAGAATTCTAGACTATATCACCAAATCATGGTGGGAATGGTGGTGATGGAATCAAGTGACACCTAGACTTACAGACATTATTTGCTAAGTATTTTACATGAAGGGTGCTCACTTTTTAGTTCTTGCAAATAGCGTGTTGTGCTAAAATTGCTTCCCTTTTATTAACCTTTAAGGAAGGGAAAGCAATTGTTCTTTCACGTATGCACACCATTACTGATTGAAAGGCTACAATGTGGCAGTCATGATTAATTTCATAATGGTTATATGCTACAATGTTCACATGTTAATATGTTGTATTTATTTTTATATGTAACCTAATAACCATAATGACCAAGCTGACTGATTTCAACCTTTCATTTTGACTGTGTTCCAGAAAGCTGTTGACCTGGCTACTGTTCACACATCACTGAATTTGTTCCATGTGCAATTAACAGGGATAAACCTTGAGTCGAAAAGGTGCCAATTAGAGATAGCTAATGGCCTCTGACCCCACTAAGTTGAAAGAATACCATTTTCATAATTATAAAAAATAGGGAAATAAAAATGCCACTTCCGAGAAATCTATTTTCCCATAAATAAATATAATCTGTATTTAAGAACACAACGTGGGAACTAATTAAACAGAGAAAACAGTTCAAAAAAATCCATTGTCCGAGAAACCCCTTAAATCTTTTCAAAGCTAGGAGAACTTGTCCTTGCATTTCTCTCTCTTTGGTTCTTTCTATGCAGCTACAAAACTTCATTTGTGTAGTCAATCAGGAGTCCATATTATCTGCAAGATGCTCTGCTGACAAATCTCTGAAAGAAATACTGATAGATCTCTGTTTCCATAGCACTGCATCATTGTTGTCCCTGCATTTTGGCTCCATGTTCTCTCCTGGAAAGGTTCACTAGGCTCTCCTGAGCATAACCTGATGACAATACTTTTCTAAAAATGTTCTGGAAACAGCCTGGCCACATTTGTGTTGTGTGTCATACACACTATCTTTTTGCCCCATTGTATTCTGTGTTTGCTCCCTTAAGGAGCAATTATTCATGGGTAAAAGAAAGAGCATTAGGAAAAAGTATGTAGGTTGAAGCTGTGAATAACATACATCCATGACAGTCCAGTTACTAATGACCATGACATTGGTACAAAAAGCTGGGTTAGTTCCTGTCTTACTCGATGGATTCCGACACTTTTGATCTGTAAAAAGTCTTAAGAGAGCAGTCAAACAAAACTCATTATTCAGATTTGGAATTAAGGTCTAGGAAGATGAACTGATTTTTTTTTTTTTTTAATAAGTTCCAAAGTTGGCAACAGAGCTGCGGCTACAATATATCTCTAGGTCCGCAGTTTGGGACCTTTTTACAGACTCCAGGCTCAAAGACAAGCCACTGTATTATGAGAAGGGTACTTGCTTATGGTGAGTCCCAGCAAGTTCAGAAACGTTATGAGTTCTTTTAAAGATTCAGCTTTTGCTAGGTTTGCCCTGTTTCCCCCATTTTGTATACAAATTCTCAACTCTAAACAAACCCTGGGCACTCCTGCCTTCCAGTTGTTTTGACTTTGTTTGTGCTTTTCCCATTTCCTAGAATGCTCTGACCCTCATCAGTTCCTTCTAGTCCCCTTAATGTACATTCCAGAGGATGGCTTTCATCCTAACAACTCATGTATTACATCCCAGGTCAGATGAGAAGCACTACTTTGATCTACAATGTAAAACAAGATAAACACTTGCTCTTATCTGTTTTACAATCTTAGCTCAACAAATGAGATAATTATAACTTTCCATCTCCACTTTTACTTGATCACTAAAAGGATGTGCGTGACAGGCCGGAGCACATTATGAATGGCTCAGTGAATGGGAAATGTTCATGCATTGTTCAATTTTCCTTTAAAATTATAATTAATTGAGTGCTGTTTAGGATTAATGAGCCTATACAGATATTTAATATAAAATTCAAGGCAAATCTGGTATATAAATCAAATCTGGCTCTTTATCATATTTACTTTATAGCCTACAAGAAACAAGAGCTAAATGTATTTTTATAAATAAATTAAAAGGATGACTTTGCTCTCCCTTTAGAAGAGTCCCTTTGTCTTTGTTTGAAAGCTTCATGTGGGAGGGAGTTTTCCATATGCAGATATCTGCTGCCATATATACGGAAGGCAGAATTGATGGATATGGCTACAAGCAGTTTAAAACAAACTTGTTTCGAGGTACAAGTAGTTAAATGCTCAGATTGTATCACCAAACCAAGAGGGAAGGTGGAAATCAAGACTGAACTTTAATGATCTGCCAACTTTCTCAAGTCTTGCTTGATTCTCTGAACTGGACCCAACACTGCTTGCTAAAATCTTCCTGGTCTGTTTCATCTTAGGACACATGATAAAGAATATTCAGTATTTCCACAATAGTAGTAAATGCCACTTAATGCAAGAGATGTACTGGTTCTTGGCACAGTTTTTTTCTGAACTGAAAAAAGGTGGTATGAAAAATATAAAGCAAAACTTGAGTTAAATTTTTGAAGAGTTTAATATACATAAAAGAAATGGAAAATATCCATTACCCTTTTAGCATTAACCTCTAATTTTGGTGGGAGTACCTGATACGCAACCACAGATCTTTTTGGTGGCTCAGGACTCCAAATCTTCCCACTTTATTCATGGGTGGCACATAGGAGAAGTGACTGTCTATTTCTCTCAAAATGGCTATACTCGTGCTATGTTTTCATCCCCTCTTTTTCTTTCTTCTCGATTCGAGGTCAAAATACCCATTCTTTTCTTCCGGGATTCGCTTCAGATGGGTTTCCCCAACTATTGTGAATCTGGTACTCTCACTTTTCTCTTAACATTCATTCTTCTGCAGAGCTCCTTACACGGATCTTCTCCCCCGAGCTTTGGGCAATTACATTCTCCCATCTCCTTCACATAAATCTCACTTGGAAGACAAACCCCTCAGGTTAGACTGCTGTTGGGTGTGTGCGTTTCTCATCGAGAGCCAACAGCACCTACCTTCACTGACACCTGCGAAAGCATCTTACACTTTGGGAAACCTATCTTCTTTTCTTCAGCATTCCTGTTTGAATGTGAATCTGGCCCAGGACAGGGACACTGGAGCCAGGTCTGGCTGTCCCTGGGCTCTGGCCTGGGCCCCCTATAATGTGGGAGGCACTGGACTAGGAACTAGAGGGGTGTGGTCAACAGGAGTAAGATAAAGTTTCTGAGATGCAGAAGCTCACAATCTAATAGAATGATGCTGTGTCCTAAGAGCAGGCCAGGAGGGTGTTAGCGGGCAATGAATGGGTCCAGTTCAAAGAGTAAAGCAAGGCTTGAGAGAGGTGGTAGATCATTAAAGGTCAAGTACAGGAAGGGTCAGAATCTAGTTAGGGGTTTGTGGAAATAGGCACCCTGAGGAGACCTTGGATGTGACCCAAAATACTATCTGTGCTCCGTCTTTTGAACCTTCAACTCTATCTGGGCACCTAAGTCATAGGATTGTAATGAAAGGCAAAGAAAATCAGGGGCATATAGGTGGGGGGGGGGTCCACTTTTGGTGGGCACATAGATGTTCCGATTACAGACAAAGTATGTTATTTTAAGAGAGATGGAGCATGTGAATGCACAGATCACTATTGTTTTGGTTTCCAACTTATTTTCAAGGAATGACAAGGTATATATATTCAGAATGATGTGTTGTTTATATGGCATCTATCTATGCACAGAGGCTGAAGATTAGGAGAGTAAGATTAGATAGAAAAACAGAGGCTTGATGCCTATCCTCAAACTGAATGGCCTTTGTAGAAGCTGCCCTAATCACTTTGTTACTGTCCAACTTCCTCTTCTGTTTCTTGCTGGCAATACCCCTGGAGTCGCAGCATTGCAGTAAATCTTCCAAATTCCTTAAATCTGCATATTCTATGAAGTTAAGTGTGTTTCTATTATATAAAGTAGCTCAAATATTGTTCAAAGAATTTCTTTTGTGAAAAATTTTTTTTCTTCTGGAGATTAATGTATGTCATTAGTTCTAGAAGTCCTTCTCTTCTAAGAGTAACAATGTAGGTACTTAGGTGTTATTTGCAATGGAATTTACCTTTACAGTGATAATTGCAGTAGCTTTTTAAAGGAACATATGCATACACCAGAACGTGCACCTGTCATTGTTGCCATGGAAACAGCTCCAAAACATAAGACACAATTCTATTATTGAGGCCCATATAGTTTCTCAAATAAATTTTAATGAAACTGTAAGTGGGAAAAAAAGAAGAATTTTATGGAGACTAATTTTAAATTATTTAGTGAAGTTTGTGACTAAAATCTTACTAAAACCACACAGGTAACCTTCATCTGAATAGGAAATAACAATCAGTAAATGTCAAGCATACATAAAGGAACATCAAGACGGTTTGTTTAAAGGTAAGTGAAGCACCCAAATGCTACCTTTTCAGTGTTTATCTTTAACATTGTTTTCAATCACTACCCCTATCATTGGTTGAAGCATAGTCTTAGCTGTCGGGTGGTGCATACTGAGATCACGGAGTTATCTGAAGATTTTTCTAGTTTCTGTCTTCTTTGGTCTCTCTGCTGTTAGAAAGTAAACAAGGGCGCCTGGGTGGCTCAGTTGGTTAAACGACTGCCTTCGGCTCAGGTCATGATCCTGGAGTCCGGGGATCGAGCCCCGCATCGGGCCCCCCGCTCAGCGGGGAGTCTGCTTCTCCCTCTGACCTTCCCCCCTCTCCTGCTCTCGCTCAAGTAAATAAATAAAATCTTTAAAAAAAACTATAAAAAAAAGAAAGTAAACAAATCTAGAGCTACAATGTTTTCAGAGCTGAGAGACCTGAAAGATGTCTATTCTAGCCCCTTACTTTCCAGATGAGGGAACCGAGGTCCACAAAGGTAAACGACTTGTCCACGGTACACAAGTTCATGTGGCTGGACCAAAACGCAGGTCCCTGACTCTCCTCCCCACACTCAATCACTGTGCCACCTTGGGAATACTGCCCACCTCCCCACCAGTTAAAGCTGGTGCATTCTTTCATGGAGCGAGAAAATCAAGCTCTGGATTTGAATATCTGGACCTTTATTGCCCACTTCTGTCTTCAAATGAACTAGTCCAATTTGCTAAATGAAATAAAATTTCAACTACTCCCTTAAAGTATGTGTCTCCTCACAAAATCTATTGATTACGTGGGGATTACTACTTTGCACTTCAGAAACTGAACTAATATCTTAATATAATAAAAAAGGGGACAGTTTTTTTGATTTGTAATCATTGCTTCACCTCTTCTGTACTTTGATGTCTCATAATAAAGCCAACTGTGAAATCGGTGTTCACTTCCATGACAAGAGCCTGGGAAACCCATCGATAGGACTGAATTTAAAGCTATCTGATGATGGTTGGGATTTCAGTATATTATTTTGAGCACATAGTTATGGCATTATATGCGGGGAAAGAAAGCCCTCATGGTCATAAATTATGAGTAGGAAATGGGTACTCCCAGAGACAGAGAATACTTATTATGTAACGCTCGTTAAGGGCTGATGGTGAGGCAGGCTCTGGGCTGAGTCTCTGGCAGCGCGGAGGACTCTCCAGGCTCTAGGAGGCTCCTGAGACAGTGTGTCATGTGGTGATGATGGGTGGAAAATACTCTCACCGTTCAAGATGTGGATTGTTTTGGCTTCCTTTGGGTTTGGCTTTTGGCACTTGAACTGGCCCCAATGTAACACCACAGCTGGAAAATGATATTATTTGGATTGGTTAAGAGGAATTTTTGAATTGAACTCCACTGCAGCAGTGGAGAAGGAAAAATGTGCCGGCCACATTCAGCAAGTCTCAGAGGAGACATCTTTCTATCATTCACGTGTTTGCAGATGAATGTGATTATGAACACTTTTTGTATAGATATACAGGTATAGAGGATGCTCAAAGTTATATAAATCTATATTCCTAGAATAATTCATCCCATAAATATGTATTGAGCACATACTCAATGGAACACTGTTCCAGTATGTACTTGCATCTACACACACATATAGACGCACATGTGTGTCACTTTTAAAATAGATAATGAATTCTTTCCTCACAGGTATTACAAGACATAGCCTGAGTAAAGTATACGGGGTGTAGAAGGCTGCCATAAATATTAATTCCCTTTACATTTCTTCTTTGCCATCCCCCAGCTTTGGGATATGAATAACCTTTCTGTCCTTCCAAATTCTGCAAACTACCCTCCACATGGGAGACAAGGAAGGGTGTGAGAGTGATCTGTTGTAAGCCCAATTCCGAGCCTGTGACAGCCATGAGAAACCTTCTTCTTCTAAAGAAGGTGCCCACAGACTCTGGCTTGTCACCTTTCGGATCCAGAAGGGGTGGGAGTTTTTCCAGCATAAATATCTGCTAATTTGTCCAAATCCAGTGAGAGCAGACAGATAGATATAGGTATTTTTTTTCTGACTATGAAATTAACACATTTATGTTGTTGAATATTTGGGATAGAAAAAAAATAATTATGTATAATTCTACAATTCAAGCAATGTTCCACTCAATGGTTTGGTGTATTTCCTATAGCTTGCTCTTGACTTTGGGGCAGACTCCCAAGAAATGAACATAAAGGGACTATACAGTCTCAATTTTGACTACAGATATTGTTCTACATAGCAGCAAGGTCTTATGACTTCCTTAAACCGAGGAAAAGATGTGTAGTATGTGTGTGAGAGAGAGAGAGAAAAGAGAGAGTGAGGGAGGGCTGGGGAGAGAAAGTTTATGTGACTATTGAGGAGAAATGAGTCCACTAGAATTTTACGACAAGCCAGAACTGAAAACCTCAAAGACATTTAAGTAGGCCTGTCTAGGTCTTTGTAAATAGCATTTTAGGAAATGAACTAAGACAGAAGGGTAAAAAGTCTACATTTCATTTCATATTTGCAAATAAAGCCCATTCCATCAGTAGTAAAATGGCTTTGTGTAACTTGGAATTTCACTGTCATCCTGGATGTCCCCCCATCAGGCCGCCCGTGTTTACGTAGCTTCTCCCTGTGGCATGAGCTCGGAGCAGAAAAGGCTATCATTATAAATCTCCATCCACTACCAAGAACAATGGCTGCCCCCAGCAACTGGACACTCCCTCTGTGAAGCTCTCCATAGGAAACAGAATGGCGTAGATACTGCTTTGAATGTCAAAGGCCTAAAAATGTTAGGAAACCAGCTGCCGCTGGTTCTTTGCGTCAGGCGCCTCTTTTAACATTTACTCATGGTATCACTTTATCCATCCTGTCAGGAGCAAACCGAAGACCAGAGATTTTTAAGAGACCATGCCTGTAATTACTCAGTAACAGCAAAAGACAAAGAGGGATGCGACCATCACGCGTTTCAAGACTTGTTAGGCTCGCTTAGAAAGAAAAGAAGCTAAATTTGTGGCTCTGAGCCAAGTTAGCCAGACTAGAAGGAGAAACTTGAAATGCAGAGGCTACTTTGTGCTATCTCCATCTGAGAAAAGCAAAGCTAATGGGGTTCTGCTCTTTATTCCATGGGGGTTAAGATTATTTTTCTAAATCTGGGATCTCCGAAGAGATAGTGCAATTATGACAAATCATTTGTTCCTTCAACGAACATGCATACAAGTGCCTACTGAATGTCAGCAGGAGCAGGGCCAGTGACATGAAGGAGTCATTTCACGACCCGTAGTTTCTACAGTAAGTAGCCACAATGCTTTGGAAACCAAGGTAGCCCCTAAATTTTTAGACCAAACTAAATCAGTTACTTACTGGAGTTCTTTTCGACTTGTGGAAAGAAACTAGAACAATTTCTGAACTCTAAATTTCAATATCAAAATATTAGGGACATCATGACTTTAGGGTTGTTTTTACCTGTTTTAGACTAAGAAGTCCATTCAAATGGAGGCTGCAGCCCATAACCTCACTCTGGGAAAACCATCAAAGGAATGCAAAATGATACCAGGGCCTTATGTCTCCTGAAGGGGAGTCTTGCGCTTCTCCTTTGTGATGGATCGGCCCATGCACCTGAAATATATTCACCATGGAGAAGGCACCAACTCTGCTGTGCATTATAGTTGAATCTATTTTTCTTTCCCTGGTAGATAAAGATATTCAGAGGAGAGAAGAATTTCCATGCTTTAGGGCCTCCCTCTGATATGTCTAAGTGCCGGAGAAGCATTTCCAAGACCTCAAGAGGACCACCTGAATCAGGAGCAATGCAAAAGGAAAGTAAGAAAGTAGAATGGGGACAGCTTGCAGGCAGATTGTGACATTTCTGAGTAATTACTGAGTGCAGAAGGTTCTGGAGTCGGAGGGCCAACTCTCCATCAGCAGCCCGCCTTCTCTGATACGAAAAATGAACATTTGAGCAATTTAATGGAAAGCTGTGAAAACGCAGCTGCAAGCGTTACATTCCAGCGAGATTGCTTCCTCTAAGCTTTCCGATTTAGAAAATTTGAAGCCTTCCAGACCTTCTCCCTAGGGGATTAGAAAGTAAGTAGAAGCTCTGAGCCCTTGGATTTAGCAATGGGAGGTGAATCAGGAGAGAGTCAATGCAAACGAGGAGGGCCCCAGGCTAACCACCACCATTTCATTCATTGAGCACCTACTATGTGAGAGTCTCACTCTGAGCGTTTCACATCTGTTATCTCTTTAAATTTCCCAACAACGCTAAGGTAATGACCGCCTTTCCTGCCAACCTATGAAGCCCAGGCTGGGAGTTGTCCAGTGACTTTTCCTGTATAATCTCGCCCTTAGGGGAGACGTTATTCTGATTTTTCCACCTCATGTTTTTCCCTGGCAACTGCTGTGAGAGAATGTTGTTTTTGGAGTTGGGTAGGCAAGTGTTGTGCATGATATGAAAAACAAACAAAAAAAAAAAAGAGAGAGAGAGAGAGAGAGAGAGAGAGAGAGAGGAATCTGACACAAAGCACCAGTCAGTTTCAGCCCCTCTAGGCATGATCAAGGCCTTTTTCCTACTGCCGGGTATTTTTAAGATCCGTTACACTGTAGAGCAGCCACAGGGGGGCACTCCTGAGATCCTGAGGCGGCTTCCTACCCAGGAAAGAGTCACTAGAGTCCCAGAGGAGACTGTGGGTGTGTTTAACAAAGGGAAGGAATGTCTGGAGGATAAGACTTAGTGCGCTCATTCTTTGGAAAATGTCTGTTTTATATATTTGCCAAGTGATAAGGAATCTAGGAAATCTAGTAAATCAAAGGCCACTTGACTATTTACAGTGTTCAAAGGTAGCTTCCTAGCTCTTGAAAGAATTATATAAATGGCTATGTTAAAAATAGGCAACCAATATAATGGAGTAACCTGAAATAGGCTGTGATACACACCATATGAAATGGCCATGAAAAATCAAAAGAAAAGGAATTCAGTATCAATTGAGAATCATTCCCACTTGAATTGACCCAATCTCATGGAAGTGGCACATTGATTGGAATTCTATGCCTTGTGCTGTTCTACGTACAGATCTTTCTCCCCAGTATGACACCCTCCTCTTTAAGTTTTGAGAGTCTATGCCTGATCCCTCCTCTACCCCTCCCTGCTCCCAACACATATTACATAGTCACATTAAGTGCCTATAAATGAAGAGAAATGTTCAAGCCATTTTTATCTTGTGACAGAATTAACAGTAAAAGTAAACATAAATAGTAAATGCCCACCTGGAAAGATTAATGTGTAAATCTAAAGGAGATTAGTGAGAATTTCTCAAGACAGAGTGCTTGGGAGGAAAATTTTAACAAGCATGGAATTTGACAAGGTAAAATTTTTGCACGTTCTGACTGTATGCTCTACATATCTATTTGTTTCTGCTTGGGAAAGAACCATTAATATACGAGACCCGCTTGAACCACCTAATTTAGCAGAAGAAACCAAACCAAAGAAGGCATGTCTTTGCATTAATATTTTCATTCGGTTTCGTCTTATTTATAAAGGTAACTCATTTTTTAAAAAATAATCACTCCTTATATGTATGCACCCCTATGTTTTTTTACAGCATTATTTATAATAGCCAAAATGGGGAAGCAACCCACAGGTCCAACCATAGGTGGATGGATAAAGAATACATATATATATATATATATACACACACACACACACATATATATATATGGAATATTACTCAACCATAGAAATGGATGAGATCTTGTCATTTGTGACAAAATGGATGGACCTGGAGGGTAATATGTTAAGTGAAATAAGTCAGACAGAGAAAGACAAATGCCATATCATTTCATTTATCTGTGGAATCTATGGGGCGCCTGGATGGCTCAGTCAGTTAAGCATCTGCCTCTTGGTTTTGGCTCAGGTCATGATCTCAGGGCGGTGAGATCAGCCTTGAGTTGGGCTCCCCACTCAGCAGGGAGTCTGCTTTCCGCCCCCTCTCACCCTCTGCCCCTCCTCCCACTCGTGAACTCTCTCTCTCAAATAAATAAGTATTTAAAAAATTTTTTAAAATAAAAAACAAGCAAACGAAAAGCAGAATCAGACCTATAAATACAGAGAACAAACTGAAGGGTGCCAGAGGGAAGCAAGGGAAGGGAAGGGGCACAATGGGAAGGAGAGTAAGAGATACAGGCTTCCAGTTATGTTATGAATAAATCGTGGGAATAAAAGGTACAGCCTAGGGAATATAGTCAATGATATTGTAACAGTGTATGATGACAGATGGGAGCTACACTTGTGATGAGCATAGCATAATGTATAAACTTATTGAATCACTTTGTTGTACGCCTGAAACTAATGTAACATTATGTGTCAACTACATTCAGATTTTTAAAAAATAAATAAATCACTCCTTCCCTGCGCTATTTGCTGCTCTCTTGACATGTATATTGTGATGAATGCAAACAAATGTTTTAAAATAATGCCAAATGTCCCCAGACAGACATCATGTTCGGTTTCTAAGCGGCAATGACGCCTTACATATTACTATAATACCTAATATAATTATATAATTATGTGTCAGAGAGATGTTGAATGTTTTATATATATTACCTTCTTTTATTCCATAAAACCCATTTTGTAAATGAGGAAACTGACGTTTACAGAGGTCAAGCAACTTGTCCAAGTTTGCACAGTAAGGAAGTAGCTGAATTGGGACTTGATAGGTTTGTCTCAGCAGCCTGAGATTGTATTTGTTATCCTACATGACCTATCTTGGATTGGTTCATAAAATAGCTCTTCAATTAACCTCTCTTCTTTTAACAGTTTTAGTAGATTTTAAGTATTTCTTTTCCTCGCTAGTCAATAATTTAAGTTTTAAGCTGAACACACACATAAGTGCAGATGGGGGAAAAACAAAAACAAACAAACCACCAAACGCATGCTCCAGATAGAGACTATAGTTGCATTTCTTGCTGAGGGGCAGTTACACCCACACTACAAGCACATGATACACGTTCATCCAGACCTCCCTTTAGAAACCCATTTTGAACAGGGAAAATTTGAACTATGCAGACTCTGGTCTTGACACCACTTAATAATGTCTGCTTTTATTGGGTTTACCCTGTAATCATAAAACTTTTAGCCAGAGTCCAATAGAGCAATGATGTTTTTCTACTTGGATTTTATTCAATATGGTTCCTTTGTCAATGCTTCCAACCAGCCCCCATGAGAGATTTTGCTCATTGCAGTTCCTCTTGACTTTCAGTAAGCAGAACCTCAGATCAGAGCAAGGTGGGGGCCCAGACACTGGGCTGGTCAGTCTGCTCAGCAGTCGATCCCTCTGCCCATCACCCTTAAGATCTGCCAGTTGAGTGTGTGGTGTTTCCAGTACTGCCTTCCAAACAGACCTTTTATAAGGAAAAGTAGCTGCTGTTTAATTCATTTCAGAAAGTAGATGGTGAACGCATATTGCTTTGATATGCTTCCACACTCAGTCTGTTCACGGGAGGTTTGCGTTCTCTTAAGCATACCAGTTTTTAAAAATTCTGACTACTTGTTCATGGGCTTCTATTACGACACTTTTGAGAACATACTTTTTTATTTGTTTTTAATTCTGTCACTTGCAAGGAAAATGGTCAGAGGCAACTAGGGCTGTGCAGACCCGGCCTTGCTGCAAGTGCCCGACAAAGCCTGCAGCCTAACAGACTTCTGTTGAAAAAAAAATGAGCATTTTCCATCATTGCCTCAGAGTCTTCCTTCTTTCCCCACATTTTCTGAAATGTAATCTCTAAAGGGTAGAAAACCGTCATTTTCGTGTGAAAACATGCTGGAGTGGAAAGGCCATTTCCTATAGATTACCCCAGAGGAGAATTTGGTCATCATTCTGGGCAGCAGTGGGGAGTTGGTACCTTAGAATCAGCTCTGAACTATGTGAAAGCTTTGAGCCTTGGGGAATTTTCCAAGCACAGGTCATTGGCTTTCTATAGCCTTGAAGGAAGAAGGCTATTGCCCCCAGAAAGCATGGCAGGTGCACGTGAGTACACTGCTTAGCTGAGGCCCACCATGGCCCTGACCAGTCAGTCTCCAGGTTAGGCCAAATCCCAGAGGGGCTTTGTTTCACATCAGTTGACAGGTGATTGAAAATGCTTCATGTCAGAATGCAGAAGAAGCCTGACCGAAGCAATTTTAGAACACAGCAAAGGTATGGTGAGAGCTGTGAATTGTGTAAGACTGATGAATCACAGACCTGTACCTCTGAAACAAATAATACATTCATTATATGTTAAAAAAAAAAAAAAAGAAGATAGTAGGAAGGGAAAAAATGAAGGGGGGAAATCGGAGGGGGGAGACGAACCATGAGAGACTACGGACTCTGAGAAACAAACTGAGGGTTCTAGAGGGGTGGGGGGTGGGGGATGGGTTAGCCTGGTGATGGGTATTAAAGAGGGCACCTACTGAATGGAGCGCTGGGTGTTATACACAAACAATGAATCACGGAACGCTACATCAAAAACTAATGATGTAATGAAGGGTGACTAACATCACATAATAAAATAAAATTTAAAAAGAATTTTAAAAAAAGAATACAACAAAGGTGTGTGTATATGTGTATGTGTGTTTCTTGGGTGTGTGTGTGTGTAGAGATGGGTCTGAGGCATGGATTTCACTAATGTGATTATTTAAATAAACTCTCCCAAATGCTACAGTAGCAGATGGTGCTACAAAAATGAAGAAAAAAGGCTCAGGGCATATATGTCACATTAGCTATATTGGCCTGCATTCAAATGATAAACATTTTAATCACTCCAGGTCATAGCTCTGTTTTAAATTTTTTGTTAATATGTTAATAGAAAATGCAAATTTGCACACAGAATTCTAATAAAAATGCATAAATAACTAGACTTTACAAGAGAAAAGGACCTTAGGGATTTAGCTCCTCCAGCCCTCATTTTAAAGGTGAGGTCAAGAATTAAACCAAATTGCAGAGAAGTTCAGTGACTCGCTAAAGGTCTTACAGGTAATAAAGAGTAGAACTATGATTAAAATATAGATTCTCAGGCGCCTGGGTGGCTCAGTTGGTTAAGCGACTGCCTTCGGCTCAGGTCATGATCCTGGAGTCCCGGGATCGAGTCCCGTATCAGGCTCCCTGCTCGGCAGGGAGTCTGTTTCTCCCTCTGACCCTCTTCCCTCTCGTGCTTTCTATCTCTCATTCTCTCTCTCTCTCAAATAAATAAATAAAATCTTTAAAAAAATAAAATAAAATAAAATAAAATAAAATAAAATAAAATAAAATATAGATTCTCTGACTCCATGTTCAGTGGTATTTCCACTATCACCTGTAATAGATTTAGAGGTGAAAAAATTAACTTGTGTCAACTATGTTCAATTCCCATAAAATGCTGCAACAATATTTTGTAAGTGTGTATTCCCTGACTTCAAACTTGTTGCAAGGTAGTGATTCTGAGTCCATTAAAACAGATTGCTTGATTTTTTTGAATCTTAGTTCTCTATTCCACCAAAACTATTTATAGAATTTTTTTAAAAAATCACTTTCTAGGGGATAAATAAATAAAATCTTCAGTTTTTGAGGACACTCAGGCATATTAAGCAAACAAAATGTTCCAGATTGTAGATTAAAAATAAAGTACAAACTATGGGGTGCCTTTTTTTGTGGTCATTTGAAATTTATTATAAGGTTTTCCTATTGAGGTCTTATTGGGGGGATTAAAAAATGTCAGTTTTTTCCCTAGGTTTAATAAATTTCCTTTTAGTGATATATAGTTGGGAATAAATTGCATATATATAAGCAAATTAAGATGATGGTAGCCAGGGAGAAACCTGAAGGTGGGCCTACCGCTTACTGATAGAGAAGATCTAGCTCTAATCTTAGGAACCTTAGGTCATTTCTGGTTTTGAAAGTATTATATTATTTGTTCATTGTAAAGTAACATTTTGGTCATAAGCAATTTCAAAACAAACAAATCTATACCTGATGATGTCTTCTATCTTGATTCCACATTACCAGGGGCAAAAGATTTTTATTTCTAGGGACATTCAGCGAGAACAAGATGACTAGCAGAGCTGAAGATAGGATAAGCTTGCCAACTG